ACTACTCAAAGAATTTTAAATTTTACCCAAAGACAATTTTAACAGCTCTTTAGGTCATCATTAGGGCTGTGAATTCATAGGGAAGTGCATTTTTTTTGGTGATTGTAAAACATAGCTTTGTGAGTACATAATTTGAATTATGTAATAACAAATCCATCTATGAAACTTTTATTTTGCATATTTTTTGCATTTTTTGACGTTTTTAATTTTTTAGGTCATTTTTTCACATTTTTAGGTCATATTTTGCTCTTTTAGTTCGTTTTCTAGTATTTTTAATCAAATTCTGTCAATTGACTTGTTTGAAAACATTTTATTTTATTTTACACGGGCTGTATAAAATATATCGTTACATACACTCGCTATATACAGGTTAGGTAAAGATAACGATTCGATAAAATAAGGCAATTGCTAGACAACTAGATAACTTAGATAAGTTATTGTGGCATATCGTATATCAGTCTCAAATTTCCAGATTAAGTTATTAGTAGGTATTTCAGTATAATATCGTTTAGTACCTATTCGGCGTTCGCGAGTGTACAGCGAAGTGTGTTAACAGTAAAATGCCGAAATCAAAACCGCTTTTCTCGTCAACATTACGAAAGTACGTCAATGAATTTGGCGGTGATAATTTTAGTACGGATGGTACAATATTATACTGTAAAGTTTGTGAAGTTAGGGTTTCGGCGGAAAAAAAAAATGTATGATACAACAACACGTAGCAAGTAACAAACTTATTGTAGGTGTCAAAAAAAAAACGATAAAGAAATTTTAAATACTTTTTAAACACTTTTTTGTACTAATGTTTAATATCCTGTATCCAATATTTATATAAATATAAAAATTAAATTAAAAACCATTTTTAATAAATTTTATACTATAATTTTTGGCATTTTATATTCCTTTTTTTTGCATTTTAAGTGCATATTTTATTGCATATTTTTGACATTTTTGAAGGTTTTTTAGTGCATTAAATTCACAGCCCTAGTTATCATCAACTACTTTTGAAAATTGTTATTTGTGCTCCCCTTTCAAAAAAAACTTTTTGTAAAAAGGCATAGATTTACTTAGGAGATTTTAGTATAGTATTTAAAAACTGTTTTCAGTTATTTCGTTTCTGTGGGTACCAGATAGTTTTCGGTTTGTTTAGAGAGCTAGATAATGTAATCAGGTAGTTTTAACCTGCCATAAGTTTTCCAAGAATTTTTTCCACACTTTAATCATATGTCCATACTCCTGTTAAATTATCAACTTTTATTTGATATATTGAAAATATTCTGTATGAAAATTTTAGTAGCAGCATCAAATTTTTACATGATTAATAAAATAAAATTTGTATTTAATTTTTAGATCAGTTTCTGACATATTCGATGTAATTAAAAGTACTCTCCTTGACAATTTTGTTTGTGTCCTTAATTTTTAGATAAATTATCTCTTACAGTTATCTATTAGCCAAAAGTTGAAAAAATGAATCAAATTCAACTTAATTTTTATATATATAATATAACATAACAATAACATTACAAGCTGTATGTGATGATGAACTGAGAATCATTGATGCATTTACTGGTTATCCTAGATCTTTAGGTGATCAAAGAATATTTACAAACTTTTTAATTTATGAAAGAATCTTGCAAAACAATAATGAACGAATATATTAATCAAATTAATCATTAACTCCTGAACTAAACTAATATAATTCAATAGATTCTATAAACGTGCACAGACATTACTTCAGAGCAGTGACATAATATTATGTTTATATGTTATTGTGAAAATATAAATACCTACGTATAAACCATCACTATTTTGGGATTTTTATAAATTTTGTCAAAATATGAACTTTAAATACTTATAAAAAAAAATTGTGGATTATACGTATTTTAATATTTTTCAACTAGCATTATAAAAACTTATGAGGAATCTTGTAATGGTATTTTAGTTCAATGCGTTAGGTTCCCAGTCAGTATTTCATTACTGCCGATAAAGCGTATCCAATACTCAACTTTTGTTTTCCACCATTTATTGATTGAAGTATCATTTTTTGCCAAGAGAAGTTTTTAAATGTTTAATTTTCACGTGTTAAGTAGCTTATTGAACAGTGTTTTGCACTGTTGAAAGGTATTTTACTATTTTTTTATTCATTATAAATTTAAAAATAAAACAAAATTTTTTAGTTTCAAGTTCAATGATTTAGGTCGTTTTAGACGTTTGATATACTTAGATATGAAAAAAAAGAACTGATTCCACAAACTATTATTGCTTGTTTTGTCCTGCATATTATTTGTTTGAAGTTGGGTGATAATCATTGAATTTTACAACTAATCAGTTGACATGTCATTTAGAAAATACACAATCCAGCTGTCTAAAAAGATCCCAAATTATGGTTTCTTTAATTTGATATATTTTTATTTAATAATTTGTTTTTTAGTGACTAACTAACTAAGTTAATTCAACTTAACTAGTTAGTTAATTTTCTAATGAACCTATCTAGATTAATTGACAATTAATATAACTTATAAGAGAGTTTTTGAAAATTTTTATTTTCAATTATGTTTTTTCTAGAATCCGTTTACAAAACAAAATAATTTTTACTGAGATTAATTATCTCAATTTTATAAATAGTCTTTTTAAATACTTTAAAATAATTTATACTTAATAAAGATAGACGTTTCTCTAGTATTTAATATACACAGATTTTGAAATTCTAAATAATAATGGCCTGTATTTTTAAAAACATATTTTTTCAAATTATCAAAATAAATTGACATCAGCAGTTCTGAAAATCAACATGAATATAATACAAGGTCTAAAAAATAATAAAATTAACTTAGTATGTATTTGAAATTAGTTATTAATTTTTAATTATTTATACTGTAGATTTAAACTCACCATCCCCTAACCACAAGCTATACTTATTGGGGAGATGTTAATTGTTAATTTTAATTTGATATTGATTTGTTGTACGTTGTTGTATCAACAAATAAATAAATAATTATAATTTATCTGTTTTTGTTATAAAATCTCTGAATTTTCATTATCATCTTCATGAACATCATAGTCTTCAACAGTAGGCTCTAGATTAATTTTAACAATACAAATATTTTCAGTAATTTTTAATATTGATATATCTATTAATATATGCAGTGTCTTGTTAAAGGGCTGGGATAAGTTGCTCTTTTGGCCAAAATGTTTAAGTTTGTTTTTTTAGGTACTAATGTACTATTGCTTGCAATGTTTAACAAAAATATGAGAGGTCAAAATGACCAAAATATATATAATCTGTAACTTCTATTTGATAGGTAGGTATTGTTAATTAATAATTTGATTGAGTAGTTTTTCCGTTGTTAAAATGTTTGTACAAAGGATGAGTGTTTAAAAATGGTCTTACTAAAACATTAAATTTATTAACATGTCACTTAACATATTATGATTAATCTATTATTACCTTCGTGTTCATCATCTATACCCAAACATTGCATTTTCAAACAAACGGCTAGTGCTTAACTTCTGGGCACCTTGAAGTGTAAATTTATCGGTTTGTTTTGACAGTTTCGTTTTTAATATACGTAAGATAAATTTGTATAACTGTTCTTCATCTAATATAGAAAAGCAACAATTTTGTATATTAAATCCTGGCTAATGTTAATACTGTTATAATAAATGCTGTAATTCTATATAAGAATAAAAATTCAATAATAACTATTAACTTTATAAATTAGTATACAATCGTGTATATTATGATATCAAATCAAATGTAAACATGTGTTATATTTTTCTTTTTTTAATGAAGCATTGTCTCAGTTATTACACAAATGGATCTTCGCAGGAAAAATTTTTTTGTGTCCGTATATAATATTGCCTAATATTTAGCCACCTTTTTGCAGCTATCAAAATGTGATAACATTGATAAAACGATAAAATGATTTTCATTATAAATTATAATATTATATTTGATTAAAATAGTTAAGCGAAAATAGAAACTGACAAGTCTAAAACAAACTAAACGTTTTATTGCAATCTTCGAAGGAGCAAATAAGTTTACTTATTAATTAATGTCAATTTGCATTTCATGCCTTAATTGTTAAAATCTTTTTTCTTTTTCGTGTTTAGTTCTCGTGTGTTAATAGAAACCTTACCTTGAATTATATTGTAGTCCACAAATGGTACACGTGAACATAATTAAACATAGTTATGGAAATGAGATATAGTTAAGAAAAAAAGCAGAAAATGTGTGTAGTAACAATAAACTGGAGAAACAGAATGAAATTATTTTTCCGACTATTACAGATAAAATTAAATTATAAACTGGATATACTATAAATAGGACTATTTGCTGGGTTTATATAGAATAGTAGATAAGTATAAAGCCAAAAGTAATAACAAGTATAACATTTTTATTACTCTCATATTTTTCCATACTTCTAAGTTCAAAATATCATATTTTAATCTATATTTATATCTATATTAAACGAGAAGGACAATCAATTAATTGCAAGTAGCCATATTATTTTATTTTTTATAATAATTTTGTACCACATATCTGGTTTCTATCCAAAGGGTATTAAATGGTGTTCAAGATTCTGTGGAAGGAACAGCATTGAAACGTTTATACTATGGTCTATGAGCGTTCAATTATGGGCCTAATAGTTAGTAAAATGTATTAATAATCCAGTTTTGTATTTAAAACACTGGGCAAGATGATTTTGCAACAATATTAGGAGAAGATTATTTTTATATTTGGAAATGACTAAATATGTGTTGATGAGATCCACGGTTTAAACTTTAAACAGCTAAATACGTTTTCATAACAAAAATACAAAATTAAATATTAAACCTAATTATAAAATGTTTATTATATTATATTCGCTTAACTATTTTAGTTAAATTATTATTATTATAATTATTATTATTTTAGTTATTTTTTAATAAAATAAAATAAAATATTATAATTTATATTTCATAATGCAAATTATGTTATCGTTTTATCAATGTTATCACATTTTGACTGCTGAAAAATAGGTTCTAAATATACGGACACAAACATTTTTTCTTGCAAAGATCCATTCGTGTTATTACCCCTGAAAAAGCATAAGATTAGTCGCTTGGCTTGTGCATACACTGGTCACTGATAGGTACACCCAACTGGTGACTGGTAGCTAACATGTATATCAAAATATTCAGCTGTGGCTCCATCTATTGTATATGATCTAAGTAAATATGATATAATTGTTAATATTCCATGTATTTTAGCGTTTATTCCAAATCTAGGGGAGATTTCATGCACAGTGTTATCTAGCCGACACACCTGTTGTTGATTAGATAGTCGCGGCCATGATGCGGTTATTCATGCATTGAATAAAAATCTGAAAGGGTATTCTGTGCTTTCGATCTGTGTAGGTAGGTACTTGTTACTCAGTTATTATATTTCACGGATTGACGTTAAGCGTGTTACTACCACATTACGTTTATTAAAAATGGATTTAGAAGCAATAGAACTAAACAATGAAGTCAATGTAAGTAATATTTTTGTTCTATTGTTTATTACTGACTGTATTAAGTACTAGCTGCTTATTCCGTGTACTTTGTTACCCGTTAAAAATGACAACTCTATATGAGACTCGCTTGTTATAATGTGAGCAGTATATTATCATGTAGCGGGCCCCGCTTAATGAATAATATGTTTTATTTTTATTTTATATTTATTGAGGACGAGCCGGGGGTGAGTGGCTGTAAGTGCAACTCAGCCATCTTGGTAGGCAATTTGCATAAATTCGATTTGATGCATGCTTATATACTAAATATACCTGATCTGGCCGATTTACCAATGGCAACCAAAAAACAAAAAAGAATATTATTTTTTACTAAGAAATCGGTCCAGCCGTTCACGCTTGATCAAAGAGAAATAAAGATTCATTTTTATACATAAAACTACTTTTTGTGACTTAAGTATAAAAGATAGACATATGCTGTAGTTGATTTTTCGTAGGCATTATCAAACTACAACTTTTCCCTAGAACTCAATCATATGTCTCTCATCGTGCGCTCGTAAGAACTGTTTTTCGTTTGACTGTTTTTTCTTCGACTTACTGTGCCTATCTGATTATCACGAAGAAGTCTATATTTTTCGGGTTAATATAGTATGGCCAATAATGCGACTTTCTTTTGGTAAAAGAATTTTCAAAAACTGGTTCCGTAGATCCGTAGATTACCCCATACAACCTCACAAACCTTACCTCTTTATAATAATCGTATAGATTAGTTAAGTCTTTACCAAAAGCTGAAATAGAAATCTTCATAATATTTTTATGTGTGTTTATGTATTAAAAACTTAGACAGATTATAATTACAAATAAAATATAATCTATGTAGTGTAATATATTAAAATGATCAAAATGACTTATTGATATGCAATAATAAGTTACAATTTTTTATAATAAAACTGTGTATAGAGCATAATAAATTATTGTTGCTCACTTAAATTCATATAGAATGATTTATCACAAATATGCACAACCAACAAAGTCCAAGCATTAGTTATAAGTTATAACATAGAATACATAATTTATGACATGCTATTTGTATGCTTTTATTAATAATTAATGTACATATATATATTTTTAGGAAAGTCAGGCAGGACCGGCGTTTCCAAAATCAGCTCAAAAGAAACCTAAGGGATTTGTAAAACAAGAAAAGTCAAAATTCTTTAAACATCAAATTAAAAATCATCTCATGTATAGAAAAGTTGGAAAATCTAGTAGGCATCCGAAGCAAGTACCTCAAACAAGCAAAAACACCAAAAAAACAGATTCAACAGTACTCCTCTCTGATGATTTAGATAAAGAAAAAAAAACACAGGACCTAGCAACTGAAAATTCAAATGAACATAATGAGTTTATTGATTCAGACCTTAATAAACCTAAAGTGATAATTACATTCAGAAACGTATATCCTATGATGAGGATTAGATACACAGGTAAAATTTTAAGTAGAATTATTCCTAATTCTGAAAGAATGTTTCATCCTTTCAATTCTACTAAAGATATAATTCAAGCTGCTGAGAATGAAGGATATAAATATTTGATGATATTAGTGGAAGAAAGTGATCCTTATGGTCTAATTATTGTAGAATTACCTGCCAGAACAGCAACAGATTTCTACATAAATAGTGTTACATTTCCAAAAAAAAGTCAGCTCAAAGATTTTTCTAACATTAGGCCAGAAGTAAACATTTCAAATTTTATAACAAAATCAGATGAAGTTTTAGCACGTATGCTAGGAGCATTGTTTCAGCAAGATGCAGAATATAAAAGCAAACGTGTTGTCGCAATACATAAACGGAGAGATACTGTAATTTTCCGGAATTACAAATGTGAGATTTTGAATGATAAACCATTTATCAGAGACTTAGGACCTAAGTTAATATTGCAACCAGTACTCTGATAGATTTTTGCTTTTAACTGTCTTAACATTTTTATATCATTCTAATATTTTTCACATCATTATAAAATTAGGTAGGTATAAAACCATGGCAAAGATGAAACTCATTTTTTATAGTTTTACAGAGACTGTAGACTGTAGTTTTACTTGAATACATTTTTTTTATCAAAACTTTTCAATTTGACTATTTAAAAAAATTTTAAAATGTAATTGATATTTTGAAGGCACTCAAAATAAAATGTTAATAGAATAATTCTATTGTAAGTACCTACAATTTTAATGCAGCTTCAAAATATGAATAAATTATTATATTAGTATATATGTAGTATAATTTAGTATAATATAATATAATTTATTGATTAAAAACAAAAAATTAAATTGTTAAATTATTGTATAAATAATATTATTGCCAATAAACAAACACTGAGGAATAAATATGATTACAATATGTTGCTGTCTAATATTAGATATATGGAAATTTCATTAAATTTATTTTCTTGAAATATTTCATTTACGTCAAAAAAATAAAAATTGTTTATTTAATCAAAAGATTATGATCAAGCCTTTAGCTAGAGAACGATTTTAAAAGTTAGTTTAATATATTGAATACTAATCACTAGAGCAAGGACTTTCATGCACTAAAAAATCATCAAATATGTATTTAGAAACATGCACTTATGCATCAAAAAATTAAAAATATGCGGTTAAATATGCCCTTAAAAAAATTAATTTTATTATTATTCACTATAAGTAAACTGATTTGAATTTTTTTTGAATGTCGGATCCCATTCTTTTTCATTATTATCCGTTGAAAATACAGATTCGCCAAACTCGATTACAAAATTACATAAACAATAAGCTTTTGTCGAATTTTTCTTTTGGCATATTACTCACGAACGTTATATACAAATTAAACTCGAGGAACTTACACACACGTGGCAAATCTACTAGAACTAATCTAATTCACCCACTGACTATAATAGATAGTTACTTGATACTATAAAATTTATCTCTATCATCTTTATAAGTTTATAACAAATTGTTGATCTTGATTCATAGAAAATATTCACCAAAGTGCTCGATTTTCGATAAACCATCAAAATATGCACTAAAAGCTTAAAATATGCCCTTTCAATCAAAATTATGCCCCTTAAACCAAAAAATGTCCAAATATGCAAAAATATGCACTAAAAACTTTTAGCTTTTGGCCACAAACGTTGTGAAAGGTATTGTGTACTTACTCTGCATACGTTTAACTAAACCAGAAAAAACATGCAAACGCATGAAAGTCCTTGCTCTACTAATCACGATTAAAGATAGTATCTTAAATAAAATAATTTATTAATGTAATGTATTTTTCATTTTTATTTTTTAAGTTAATATAATGTATTTTTTATTTTTATTTATTAAGTTAATCTGACATATTTTGTTACATTATAATATTGCTTCATAATTTTTTTACATTTTTTTTCCCTAAAATATCCTACAAAATACTTATGCTATAAAAATACATATCATAGGTACTTAAATATACATTTAGTATATTCCATAATCCATAGCTACTATGTGATAACACTTATAGACCATTGTAATAATAATTCCTAATGATGTAGGGTCAAAACTATACATCTATTGCTATAATATCAGATATAATTTAACCTATAAACTAGTAGACACTAGTGGACAGCGTTTAGAGAGGTAAGCCAGAGATAGCTGAGAGGGAAAGAACTATACGGTTGGGATGTTCCGGTATTTTCTCACTCACTGTATCTCATGAACTGCTTGCTAAATGGTGTGATAGGTGCTGTCCATTCATTTATGCCTTATGGGTCTATTGGACGAACTACATAAAAAAGTGATAACTGTTTGTTGTTATGCATGATAGTAAGACCGATTCGTTTATTATTTTTTTAAGTTACATATTAACTAGAAAGTTAACATTTAAATCCCATCTTAATTAATTTATGTAATTTGTAGGTATCTACCATGCCAACAGAATTAATAGTGATGATTTAATCATTTGAGATTTATAATGGTCACAGTTCGATGTATCTATGAAATTAAATATAAGTTGTCTAAATTCTCCCTTAAGTTGTTATATTGAGAATCGTTCTATTCAAGTAATTTTATTTTTATAATTATAAACATATATTTATATAAGATATTATATAAAAAGTGATTAAATCACCACTATTAATTATGTTGGTAGATACCTAAAAATTACATTAATTAATTAATTAAATTAATAAGTTATAATTATTCAACAAAACATTAAATCTGACATTTAGGTGCCTGCTAAAAATATTAATGACATTGAAGCCGGTGAGTTTTTAGTACAAAAACATGTTTTACAGGAAAAACTCTTACACACTATAGAATAGTCGGATTTTGTTAAATCTATTTTAATTTAAAAAAAGAGAATATTTTGCAGGTCGGATCAAAGCCCGATTATAGAAGCTTAAATATGCATTTGAAAAATGCACGATACATGTTATTTTTTCTAGCACTATTGAAAATAAAATGAATATTCGGACTATAATAAATTAATTAACACTAGACTTAAAATAAAAACCAAAAAGCTGACTAGGAGAATAGCTTATAACTAAACATTTGTATGAATAATTATAAAAAACCCATTGTTTAAATAACCATGTTTACTTTGAATAACACTTTAAAATGTTAATTAATAAATAATAATAATAATAATAGATATTTTATTTTTAATTTTTACTTTTTATCAACAAAAGAGTATTGTTTAGTTAATATATAATCTAAATTTTAAAATTCCTGAGTTAATGATTTTTTTTAAGGTCATCATTAGGTCAATTTTACCTTATATTTAAAAAAAAAAGAAGAAATTCAACACAATAGTTTCTAAAACATTTAACTGACATAAAAATTAAAATCCAAAATTTTCAATAGGATTTGTATTACTTTGAAAATAGATCTTATTTATTTATTTTATTTTTATTTAATATATATTTACGAACAAGCAGTTATTATAGAACTTATTTATGTAACATAAATTATAATTATTTACACACCTTCTTTAAGCTAATGCTTGAGTTGAAGGTGGTGAGTTCATAATAATATAATATACTAATAAAGTTACAAAGTATAGAAAAAAAAATTTCTATGAATGCTTAATTAATCCTTAAATAATATTAATTTTATATACATACTACTTTGTTAGATTCATACTAAATTTATCTTCTTTAAGACAATTTAAAATGTTTATAATTAGTGAATTGATTCATATTTATTACCATATTTCTACAAAGTGAAATTGTACAATTTAAGCAAATTATACTGCAACAAAACAATTTGGAACAATTGTATTTATATTATTTTTACAAGGTGGTAAATACATTGTATGATTTGTATATTGTATGCTTATAACTTTATGGTAAAGTACACTTTGTGATAAGCTTATCAACGTTTAGACATTCAATTCTTTATAAATAAGTTTATAGTACAAGTAAGAACAGTGCTGTGGACTTGCGTCCCGCATTAGACTTTGGTAGAGGTAATTACGGCGTATAGACCAGATAGGTACAGATAATACACAACATATGAGGGAGGCGACGCGTGAAACAAAACGTAAAGAAAAGGGTTGATATATTTGAACGAGTCTGTGGTTTCTTGGAGACACAATGGATTATGGGCATTTTAGGAATATGAAATAATAATATAAAATAACGGGATGACTAAATATAATGAGTGTTGTGCATGTCATAGTAATCACGAATACCACATAATAGATATTCGACCATACTCATTTTTACGCCCAGGATGCGCACTCAGGAAAGTCGTATCGGGGCGTGGGCCGTTTGCATTTCTCGGTAGCCACAGTATCCATGGGAACGATACTCGTATCAAGAGGGCTAGGAGAAGTAGAGGGTAGGCCTATATAGGAGAGCCCCGAACTGCCCACATTTAGATGTGATTTGACCAGACGAGCCAGAGCACCTTCACGCCAGTCAGTCCTTTATTGTATTATTTTGGACTTAGAATTATTTCAAACAGTTAACTATTTGGACTTACTACTTAAACTTAGGTACTACTAACTTAAACCAATATTTCCTGAACACTGAATAATTCTCTGCAACGAATATTCTAGTACAAAATAGCCAATCAACAGTTTAAATTACATTTGTTTTTATTAAATATTAATACACTTTATTACATTATACATCAGCGTTGCAAATGAAATCAAATACACCTCATCCTATTTCTCTCAACGACACCTGTCCTGTAGTCGCCAGACCACTACATTTAGCGTAGTTGAGTAAGGAGCACCAGAAGAGCAGGAAGCCCAAGTCGAGGAACTTTCAGAAAACATTTTTTGAAATTTATTAATTTTTGAAAAAATTAGTTTTTCGACTTCAGACGTTCGTGGAGGCAATTCAATCCAGAATCACCGTCGGAAGCCAGTACAACTTTCAGCAACTCCGGGGGACAAAGAATCTATGTAGTGGTCAAGACAATAGAACGGGTACAGTCGAAGATAAGAAAAATGAGTCAACAAGTAGCTGTTCAAGCCAGCGTTGTGTGTTTTTTTTTTTTGTAGAGCATAAGAAACATTTGTCAGCTTAATCACATCTCCTTTGGTACTTTAGAGTCCATCGTATAACAATAAATTTTTTTTTGGGCGAAGGTGCGTATATAATATATATTATATATAATTAGTGAAATAAAATTTTTACTTTTATTGGGGTAATATATGTATATAAATTTGATAGGGAATAATAAATAATTTAAAGTGAATACAAATAAGTAAAGGAATATAGGAAAATATTTGTAGAAGATTTTTTGGGGAATATTGAGATATATAAGTGATTTGTGAATTTTAAGAAGAGATATGGGGCATGGGAAACATATATATGAGTATAATTGAATAATTGAGTATTAATAATTGAACTTTTTATGGCAAGAGGAAAGAGCTGGTGATTTTATTGAGATAATTAGGAATTTTAGAAAAAATATATAAGTATATAATTGAAGTGTGCGTGCACAGATATGAATTAAAGAAGAATAATTGTGTGGAATATGAAGAATTAAAGGATTTTTGAAGGGAAAATTATTAATTTAAGACTAGTCTAGAATAAGTTAATGTAGTTAGAAAATAATGGAGGTATAATTAAGGACATTATTTTAGCTTAATATAAGTGCAGCTTTTAATTTTAAGATTAAAATAAAATAAATTAGGTTTCCAGGAAATAAAATAAATAAATAAATTAGTGTTATTACTGCGGTTTTAAGATTATTTAATTATTGGAATAGCTAACCAGTTTTAATAAATAATAAAAACGCGATCAAGTATAATTCAACGACAATTAATATAATATTGCGTGCTCTAGTATGTGTGTGTGTTTTTGTGTAAAAATTGTTAGAGGCAATAGCACGTTAAACAGATTACGACGGGCGCATGAGAACAGAATTAATTTAAACTAAAAAATACGCGCAGGACGTCATATATATGTTACACATTTTATAAAATGATAATATAGATATTAGGAATTAAATAGAAAAAAAAGTATTAACGGAAAATAATTTTTAAAATAAATAATAAAATTTATTTAGATATAGTGAATACATTTTTATTTTGGAAAATAAATAAATGACATTTTTCAGAAGTTATTCAAATGAATAAAATAAATATTTATGAATAAAGATTTTGTCGCCGCCGCGACAATTCGGCAATAGCGCGGTATACATCACACCGACCACCACACACACACACACACGCAACACATCTTAATGTCATTTATGTTGTCTTATTTTTGTATTCAGTTATCGTGTGTGAATTATATAATACGTGATCATTGTTTTATTTGTATTAGGTTTATCATTATTGTTTATTTTTGTTATAATTGTGTCAGGTGTGAATTATATAACATGTAGATAATGCCCGGTCGGCCGTCGACGTCAAGAGTTAGCACGGCCGCCGGAATCTGTTCGTTCCGTATTGTTAACGAGTAATAATTAAATTAATAATTGTCGTGCGCGAATCGCCGTTTTTCCTTTTATATTATTGTAAGGCGCGAATCGCCGTTTTTCTTTTTATAATATAAACTTGTATTGTGCTAGGGCGCGAATCGCCACCAATATACATATTATTATCGTGTCAAGGCGCAAATCATCGTGTTTTTTATATTATATATTGCCAGGGCCGGCGCTATCTTTTGCGAGGCCCTGGGCGAAATATACCACGAGCCCTTTATAATAATGGCGTCTAAGGGTATTCCCAAAATATTTGATGAAATTATGAGCTATGAATTAACTCTCCTACAAAATAAAATTCTTTATAAGGATTTTAGTGGTAATTAATTGTTATATTTTATGTATTTAATGTAAAAAGTTAAACAATGAAATCAAACTTAAAAACTAAACAATTAAAATATACATTTTAAAATTGTATTTTCTTATACATACGTAATCAAGTAAATCAAGTAAATTACCAAATGAAACGTATTAGTCCCTAGATACTATAAAAGATATTAAACAAACATACGAGTAAGCTACTTAAATAACAAATTGTCAAGTTGATTAATTAATAAATGTTTTTTTGGAAGACTTCATAAATACAAACAAATCAATAGTCAGGATCATTATAAATATTAAAAAGTTTTTTTTCTCGATCTTTGTGAAGCGAATATTTCAATAATATCGTTGTAATCGAGAGACTCTGATATTTTATTTTCAATTGAAATCAATGCTAACTTTGACATCTTATCTTGCGAAATGGTATTTCTCAAATAATTTTTTATTATTTTCAGTTTTGAAAAACTCCTTTCGGCAGTGGCTGACGTTACAGGTATTGTTAAGATAATTCTTAATGCAATACAAGTATTTGGAAATGAACCCATCATTTTTTTCAACAATGATAAAATTTGTAACGCCGTATTAGTATCATGAATAATATTTCTCAAAATAATTAATTCTTCATATAATTCAACTCCATCAATATCCTTAGAATCACCGTCAGACAGAGTAATTTGAAGATCTTTACAATGTATCATTAAATCTTCATTATTCATGTGTTTTAACTGCTCAATTTTATACAAAAATCCAAAATTATTATTAAATGTTTTGAATTGATGAAATCGTTCATTCATTGAATTAATTGCTTGGTCAATAACTAAAAGAAAAAAATCATATTTGAACTTAAGTTCAGCATCTTCAATTAAATCGTCAGGTCCTTCATAACTGAAATGTGACTTTTTGACTCTTTTACGGGTTTTTTTAAATTCTATCTCGATATCTAAGTCCTCTGAAATTGTGTTGGCTGTTATTTTAGCTGAATCAAATCCTGTAGTACGATATTGTTCAAAAAATTTTAGTAGTCCATTTAGCAAATTAGTGGATACATCCAGATGCATATTTATGCTTTGCAAGCTCTTACTTACAATATTGACTTCTGATAGAATTTCATACCAGATCACTAAACTTAATACATATTCATAGCTATTTAATTCATTTATTACTAAAGAATAGGCTTCACTTCTTGTTTTTGGATCGTTAGTTGTATTTGCCATTTCTTCTAAAGCTTTAATTACACTTGGTAACTGAAAGCGCAAAGCTTTTACACTATTAACTCTACACTCCCAACGAGTTTCTGACAGTGGTTTTAAAGTATATAAATTACAATATTTTTTTTAAATGTCCCATCGGCCAGTAGAGGACGAAAACAAACAATATAATCTCTGAACCACGCCAAAAAATGAAACAGCTTTAGTTGAGGTTTTGGCCAAGTCTCCCAGTAGTAAATTTAAATTGTGTGCTGCGCATGGAGTAAAATATGCCCTGGAATTTAAATTTTTTATTCGTGCTTGAACACCTTGATATTGGCCCTTCATATTAGCGCCATTATCGTAGCCTTGACCTCGGCAGTTATTTAATTCAATTTTGTTGTCTTTTAGTTTTTCTAATAGCACGTTTGCTAAGTGTAATCCTGTCGTAGAATTAACATTTATGAACCCCATAAACATTTCTTTAATCGTTGGATCGCTTAACTCGTTATCAGTATCCATATCCACGACCCTAATTATCAATGATAATTGTTCTTGGTGACTAATGTCTGGTGTACAGTCCATCATAATTGAATAATATTTTGATTTATGTATAACCGCTACTATTTCTTTTTGTATTTTATTCGCAATCAATGTTATAAGTTGATCTTGAATATCATGACTGAGATAATGATCGTGGGTTTCTTTACATTTAATTCGTTTAACGTGCTCTATTATTACTGGATCAAACTTAGCTAACGTTTCGATGTACCCGAGAAATTTACCGTTATGTTCAGTATAAATAACATCAGATGATCCTCGAAATGCATCGTTGTATTTTGCTAAGTAATGAATACCAGCTAAAATTCTTACAAGTACATCCCGCCAATGTTTTTTCTCTTTTTCAATTTGACTCAGGTGTTGTTTATCTATAGTATTTAAAGTCGAAATTCGTATTTTTAGTTCCATCCAAATTTTAATTGTCTGATTATGGGCAGATGTTCGTTCATGTTCAGATAACTTTTCAGACAAGTGCTTCCAGTCATTAATTCCTTCACTTACCAAACCACTTCTATTCGAATTACTTGGTAAACTAGTTCGAAACAGTGTGCAGCAAAAACAATAAACAGCATCCTTACTGATCGAATAAACAAGCCACAAACGATTAACTATTTCTCCATTGGGCTTTACACGATTATAGTAGCTGACGTTAAACTTCCTATTTTGCTCATTAACCGGAAATTTAAAATTTAATACTTTTTTTGGACCACATTTAATAATTTCTGTTCTTATGTTCTGGTTAATATTTACAGGCCAACAGCCAATATCATCAAACTCGCTATAAAGTTTCTCAATGTCATTTTTGTCGTTTATAGGTTCAGAACAATTATCAGAGAAGACTTCATGGATTTCCATACCTAATTGTTCACCTTGTTTATTTTCTTTAATTGTTTGATCAGACTCCATAATATTATCCGAGATATTATTCTGAATTTCCGGTTGAATAGATTCCCGCTCCTCATAATCATTTTCATTTTTTTTTTCTGTTTTACAAAGAAATTTTTCAAAAGCACCACGTTGTTTCTTAATAATTTGTTCTTTTTTTTCTTTTTTTATTCGTTTTTGGTAACCAGATGGGTGACTTCGAAAGTTATCACGATCACGATGAGTTGACATGATAATTGAAAATAATGGATCTGACGAAGAAAAAGAAACTAATTAAAAATGTTTAAAAAAAATGAAATTTTCGGTTTTCCTTTGATGTAGACCGTAGACCGCCTACTAGGCCGATCGGAAATTTTGCCGCGCGGCATCAAGAAAAGCCGCGAAAAATGTATTTATGTATTCGCACTCATGCCGCACGGCC